CTAGCACAAGAATTTCTACATATCAATCCCTTTAGAAGCATTCTTAAGATTAGCTAAATTTCTTCTAGCTTCAAAGATCTACTGAAAAAAAAAAAAATGCGACGGTGCTCAAAAATCCCATCCAATATTTAACAGTGTTCCTTTCCAGCGAAGTCCTCCTTATGTGTTTGTGAGGATGGAATGAAAGAGCAGTAGGTTCATATGGTCCGCCATCAGGAAAAAGGGAAACAGAAATGCTCAGAGTTTTGAAAACCTGCTGGCATCAAAAGAATGAGTATTTCAAGCTTCAGAGATCCAAAGTCACTAAGCCTGCACACTGGTGTGCACGCCCACGTATGGGTTACCCCTATTAGAATGAAGTGATGGTGGCCTGCCTTTGTTTGAGCTCAGTGCTGTCCTGGGCAGACAGTACAGATCTGCAGGACACGGGAGAAACAATCAAAACCTAGCCACTGAGGGAAGTGTGAGGACAAAGCAGTGGCAGTGGGCACATGCAGGGAGCCCTGCTGGCCCTGGAGGTGGGCTTTCTCGCTGCTGCTGAATGTGGTCAGTGGGAAACTCCACCTTTCTGAAGGCTGTGCCACAGACCACAGGCATAGCGTGTTGATGCTGACGGCCCTCCTGGCCTGAGAGAAGGGAGAAGTCAATCAGAAAGCTAGATCACCAATATAAACAGCTTACATTTTATTAGCATAACAAGTACTTTTCTGGCTCTGAAAAGTCGTACTCAACTATATGAGGATGTTACACGCAGTCAGGAAACTAGCTAGGCTGAGTTTAAATCTCTCCTTTGTGCTCAGAGTCACCTTCCTAGAAGCACTCTTTTTTTTTTTTTTTTTTTTTTTTTTTTTTTTTGCGGAGCTGGGCACTGAACTCAGGCCCTTGCGCTTGCCAGGCAAGCGCTTATTCAACTGAGCTATCTCCCCAGCTCCTAGAAGCACTCTTGAAAATGCAAGATAAACAGGACATCCAACAGCTTCCTCCTATTCCCAAATTCAATTTTGCTTTAGTTCCTATGCAGGGTATTATCGGCTTCCAAGAGCAAGGCCAGGGGAGTCTGTGCATACCTAGAAGAAAGCACACTGGACAGTTATCGCTGCCTCCCAGCCTTCCAACCCTGCAGCCACCTCGTGACCAGCTCTGTGCAGGTAAGCACGCATGCGCATTTAATTGTACTGAGGGCTGCTGAGTCTCTGAGTTCTGTCGTATCTTCCAACGCACTGCATAAACACGATAAGGAAGGCAGTTCTTTCTTACCCTACGCTTGTCTCCCAGCGGCATACCAGCACTACAGGGTCTCAGAAAGGTACTCAAGCTAGTAAAGCAATGATTCTTTTCATGTTTCTCCCTAAAGTAAAGACGGGATGGAAATCCTTATTCTGCTACCAATTCTCCTTGCCCCAGATTTTTAGAAGGTATAAGAAAATGTCCAGAGAAGGATCGGAAAGGTGGCATCTCAAGCTTTACAAAATAAATCAGTAACAGAAGGCTGTGACTGCTTTCATTGCCTGTATAATACTGTATTGTACTAATTTGTCTATACGTGATTAAAATAATACAGAGAATGTTTTGTTTTTGCTTTTGTTTTTGGTGGTACCAGGGACTGAACTCAGGACCTTGTGCTTGCCACTGTGCTATTCCACTGAGCTATCTTCCTGGCCCAACAATGTTTAAATTTAAAAAAAAAATTATGACAGTGGAAGACTTGCTGCCAGGATGATGGTCTACATGTCTTTAAAATGAGGGGGAGTGTTCTGAGTGTTAGGAGGACTCATGGCAATGTGTCTTTTACTTTTAAAACATTTTTTTTAAAAAATGCAAACATTCATCATATTTTTGATCACGTAACGTTGATCAAGCATTTAGGGCAATTTCGGTCAAGAACAACAAAAAAGAAATATTTCTGTGCATCCTCAATCATTTTATTAACCAGATCTGGTACAGTGAAACTTCCGGCTCTTCCCCAAAGACAAAATGACCATGAGGGCAAAGGCTTGTCAGTCGATTCAGGACTGAGGCAGAAATGGTCACACAACTAACAACACATGGGAAAGAAGGCTTCCAGATCTGCTTCAGAAAGTGGCAGGAACAATGACATAAGCAGACACACAGCAAGGCAAAGTACTTTGAGGAGAATGAATGACAGTGTGTCTTTTACAGTAATAATTTTAAGAAATTAAACATCACTATGTTATTTGATCATGTTATGTGTGTCCCAACAAATGCCTTCTGGGTCAAGACCACGCCTTAGTCACCCGAGCTACCTCAGTGGCAGCCCAATAACGTGCTTTGTTCTTGAACACCTGAACTCTGTACACGGGACTACGTGCACACACATGCCAAACACGCAGACACTCACTGTGGGTGCCATTATTCTAATTACGTGCCTTCAGAACGTTATAATGACAGGGATATCAGCTCCATGTCATGCCATTCAACGTTCAGCACAAATTGGCCTTGGAAGACCATAAGAAAAATGTGCTGGACATTACAGTACTTTTTTGCTTGTCTGAAATTTAATACCAGTTCCTAATGAAAGCATGTTGAGTGAAAATTAACCATGACAGTATTAAAATGTTCCGTGTATACTGATTCTAGCCCTTCATGGGTTACGGTTGGTGCAGCATTCAGTTAAAAAGCCACTCCCATCAAACAGGGCTCTGGGCGTCCCAGGGAAGCGCAGCGCGCACCCAGGGGCTCTGTTTATCTGCTGAGCTGCAGGCCTGCCTGGGAGTCGGGATCAGGGTCAACCTAGCTCCCAGCAGGCAAAGCTCTGCCATGGCTTCCAAAGACCAGGTTTGTTTTTCATCTGCGTGATGCTCCTGGCTAGTGCTGAAAGAAAATTAATTAACAGTGAGACGAGTCCATGTTTAACAGGAATCCTGGAGGCCCCGGCGTGGAGAACACATCTCTTCTTTCTTAGCAACCTCAACATGTTAGCAAAGCCTGTTCTAGCGTTTATCAGGCATTCCTTGATGTTGCTACTAAAAATACTTCCCCCGGCCCATTTTATGTTTCATTTCACAGCATATGTGCATTGATGTGTATTATGTATATTTACTACGTGTCCCTAGTAACGTCAACCCATCCTGTGCGCTTGTTTGCACACCTTCATCTTCTAGCGCATGACAGCAGCGAGTTGGGCCTGTCCTCGGCCTCCGCCTCTAGGAAGAAGTGCAGGAATAACCCTGCGCAGATCCGGCTCTCAGTGAGTATTTATACAGCAGAGTTCCTGAATTGACAAATATTCACTCACTGAGAGCCAGCCTGCTGCTTTCGATAAAGTGGTAAGGTCTGAGAATGAGTTAGCTGCTGGATAATTAAAACACACCATCACACACACACACACACACACACACACACACACACACACACACGCACAGGGCTGGAGCAGAAATCTTCAGGAAACAAATACCAAGAGCCAAGAGAACATATTCCTTTGACAGCTTCATCTGCATCAGGGGAAGAAACAGGGCCAATCAGTATAGCAGATCTGGAAAGAGATTTGCTGTATCCTACTAATACAAAAAAAGAAAGAGAGAGAGAGAGAGAGAGAGAGAGAGAGAGA